CAGCTTCCAGAACTGTGTGAATTTTCTGTTGTTTAAGCAACCTAGTTTGTGGTATTTGTTATGGCAACCCTAGAAAACTAATACACTTGTCTCCATAGTTTATAATAAATTAGATCTAATTATTCCTTAAATGTTTGGTAGAATTCACAAGTGAAGCTATCTGGGTATGGCCTACTTTGTGGGTAGATTTTTGATCACTTATTGTAAGTCCGGGGAGAAGAAATCCCAGAGCAAAATACCTCTAAAAACCAAAATCAGTCAAAGGGAGAAATAAGTTTAAAACTCATTTATTGCTTACAAACTGCAGTCCCGTGCCATCTCTCTCCCCTGCTCTGGGAGAAACCAGCAAGCTAGCCAGCCCCCTCTCCTTAACCTCTCAGGTTCAGACATGCCCTCAGTTGCCCAGGTTACCCATTAACACGGAGATGAACTTCTCTCCACCCGAGGACATGCAAATACACTAAAGCCAGGCGAGATATTCTGGAAATGTTACAATTTTACCCACACTTATTCAATCTCTTCACTTTTTATAGGGCTACTCAGATTTTCTATTTCTTCTTGAGTCAGTTTCAATAGTTTGTGTCTTTCTAGGGATTTGTCCATTTCATTTGGATCATCAATCTTGTTGGTATATAACTATTCAAAGTGTTCCTTTATAATCCTTTGTATTTCTGTAGATTCAGTAGTAACACGCCCTCTTTCACTTCTGCAATTTGAGTCTTTTTTTTTTTCTTGGTGAGTCTGGCAAAGGTTTGCAATTGTGTTCACTTTTTAAAGAAAAATCAAGCTTTTTCTGGTTTAGTTGATTTTCTCTATTGTTTTATCTGTTCTGTATGTCATTAATTTACCTTATAAGCTTTATTATTTCCTTCCTTTTACCTGCTTTAGGTTTAGTTTGTTCTTCTTTTTCCATGTCTAAAAGTGGAGGACTAGTTTATCTGAGATCTTTCTTTTTGCTTATTATAGGCATTTATAGTTATAAATTTCCCTCTAAGCACTGTTTAAGCTACAACCCGTAAGTTTTGGTATGTTGTCTTTGATTTTCATTCATCTCAAAGTATTTTCAGATTTTCCTTTTGATTTCATCTTTGATTGAGTGGTTACTTAGAAGTGTGTTGTTTAATTTCTACATATTTGTGAGTTTTACCAATTTTTCCTGTTATTGACTTCTACTCTCATTCCATTGTTGTCAGAGAACATACTTTATATTATTTCTATTCCTTTAAATTTTTTGAGATTTGTTTTATAGCCTGACAGATGGTGTACCCCAGAGAATGTTCTATTGTACACTTGAGAATGTACACTTGAATCTATATTCACATGTATTGATAATGTATATTCTGTTATTCTGTGGAGTGCTCTAGCTGTCAGTTAGGTCTAGTTGGTTTATAGTGTTCTCAAGCCTTCTGTTCCCTTGTTAATTGTCAAGTTCCAACCATTATCAAAAGTGGAATATCAAAGTTTCCAATTATTATTATTGAATTGTCTATTTCTCATTTTTTTTCAGTTTTGCTTCATGTATTTTGGAGCTCTGTTATTAGGTGCATATATGTTTATAATGGTTTTATCTACATGATGGATTGATACTGGTATTGTAAGATGTCCCTTTTTATCTCTAGTAACATTTTTTGTTTTAGTCTATGTTTTCTGATATCAGTACATCCCCTCTAGCTTACTTGTGGTTGCTTTTTGCATATGTTAGTTTTCAATCTGTTGTATCTTTGAATCAAAAGTATGTCTTCTATAAACAATTATAGCTGGATTGCAGGTTTTAAAAAATCCAGTGTAACAAGCTTTCCTTTCAATTGCATTATTTAATCCATTTTCATTTAATGTTATTATTGATAGTTGGATTTGCATGTGACATTTTACTATTTATTTATAATTCTGTCTTTTCTGCTTCCTCTAGTTCTCCTTTATTGTTTTTACTTAAGTGAATATTTTCTAATGTATTATCTTAGTTTCTTTAATTATGTTTCACTATATATTTTTGAGTTATTGTTTTAGGGGTTGCTCTAGGCTTTACTAATACATCTTACTAGAAGAAGCTTTGGATTTACACTAGCTCGTTTCAGTGACATATAGAAATGTTACTTTTACATAGCTCTATTCTTGCCCCCAGACTTTGTGGTATATTGTTTTATATATATATTACAGTAATTAATGTTACACAACCAAAAATACTTTGTTAAAATTATTTGCTATCTATAGTCATTTCTTTATCCCAATAGAGCTTTGCTCTCACTACCTCCTTTGTGCTGTCATTGGCAAATATATTTCACATATATTAATTTCTGTATGTAGATACAATAATCCATTATATGATTTTGTACAATTGTTTTTTAAATCAGTTAAGTGTAGGAGAAAAAGAATTCATTCATACTGCCTTTTATAATTATATTATTATCTTTTCTGGTGCTCTTTTATTTTTTTGTGAACTACTGCCTGTGGTTACTGTTAGCCTGAAGAACTTCCTTTAGTATTCCTTGTAAGGCACATTTGCTAGTATAAATGATCTGTTTCTGTTTATTTGTGAAAGTATTTCATCTTATTTTACTTATTTTTGTAAGACTGTTTTGCTGGATATAAGATTCTTTGTTGAAATATTTCTTTGAGCACTTTGAATGTGTTATACTGGGAAGTCAGCTATTAATCTTATTGGTATTCACTTGTAAGTAATGAGTCATTTTTCTCTGGCTGCTTTCAAGATTTATTCATCTTTCACTTTCAGTATTTTTATTGTAATGTATCTGTAGATCTCTTTGAATTTATACTTTATAATTTGTTGAACTTCCTGGATGTGTAGTTTATAGTTTTTCAATAAATCTGGGAATTTTTAGCCATTATTTCTTTAAATATTTTTTCTGCCTCTTTTTCACTCTCTTTTCCAATTGGTACTCCCATTATGCACATGTTGCTGTGCTTAACAGTATTCCACATTTCTCTGAGGCTTTCTTTAGTATTCTGTATTCTTTGGCTTGCATAATCTCTATCAATCTATCTTCAAGTTAGCTTATTCTTTTTTTCTGCCAGTTCGAATCACTGTTGAGCCCCTAATGAAGTGTTGATTATTGTAGTTTCAACTTCACAATTTATATTTGGTTCATTTTTATAATTTCTGACTCAGATCCTATTCTAGGAGCTGAGCATCTTTATTGATATTCTCTATTTGATATGATATTGTTATCATATCTTCCTTTACTTCTTTATTCATAACTTTCTTTAATTCTGTGAACATATTTATAATGGCTACTTCGAGTCTTTTTCCTGATAAAACTGACATCTGGTTGCTCTCACAGCAGTTTCTGTTGCCTTCTATTTTTTCATGTACAGGTCATACTATCCTATTTCCTATTTCCTTGCATGCTTTGTAATTTTCTGTTGGAAACAGGGTATTTTAGATAATATGTTGTAGCAACTCTGGGTATTTGTTTCTTCCCAACTTCTCCCACCCCTTGTTATTGTTATTTGCCTGTTCATTTGTTTAGTGGCTGGCTGGATTATTTCAGTAAGGTTTATTCACCAACTCCCCCACTTTAAATTCCTGATGTTGTTATCCTGGTATCACAGTAGTTTTGGTAAGGCTCTCTTCCTTTCATTGTTAACCGCACCCAGTTAAACTCCACCAGTTTGCTGGCTGATTGCACTATTATTTTCAACAATGTGCCTGAGCATAAATTGTTCTATTAATGATTCCAAACAAATTCTGGCTCTTTTGAAGCAATAGCTTATGAGGTCAGTGTTTAATATTTATTCTTTCCCCAGATGGGGTCCCCCCAGCTGTCTTTTCTTTGTTTTTTTCCTGTAAATTAGCCAGCCTACAATTTACTCCGTATCTTGAATCTCCTCCCAACTACCTGTGACCACGACCTCTAGGTTTTTGAGGCGAATTTGTTTGTAGATCCACTTCGGCTGCATATGAAGTCAGTCCCTTTGGGAGGAGATTAAAAGCTATCTGTTTTCCAGGCCATTTCTCCCCAGGCACAATCACTGAGCTAGGCTTTGAACAGATGGAACAATGGCAAGCTTCTCTGAGTCATGTCCTGCTCTAGAAGCTGAACTCTAGGCAGAGGGGATAGCAGCCTGAAGTCTTCTGGCTTATGTCTCTGGTTTACAACTACCATTTCAGGAGCTGGGGTAAGAGTGACTAGGACCCCAGTATTCTCAACAATCTAGCCCAAGATGATATAGCCTCTGTACAATGAGTAGGGCTAGATGGAAGAATAGATCCTCCAACTCTCAAACACACTCACCCAGAGTTTAGCCCCAGTGTCAGGTAGCTAGGGACAGGGTGAGAATTGCTGATGTCCTGCCCCTCCCACCAGGGACCTGTGTTCTTGGCTGCAGGAGTCTGGAGCAGGATCTGTCTTGCTGAGTTGGGGGAGAGGGGTAAGCAGAAAGACTTGCTCAAAATACCACAGATTCTTGTCTTTCTTGCCTAATTTTCATAGATTGTCATGAATAGATGTTCTTTCATTTGCTGTTTTCTCTTAGGACTACTTCCAAGACTTTTAAATAGTTGTTTATTGTTTGATTATTTTAAAATAATTGTCATCAGTTTCACTAGGTCAACTGAGCTCTCCTCATGCTGTCATGCTGGTAGTCAATTTCTCTTGGTATTATTCTTGCAATTTTTCTGTGAGTTGACATTTATTTCAAGGGAAGTTAAGAAGTAAAAAAAAATCACAAGAAAGTAGTTGTTAGCAATAAATAGATTAAAACATACAGTGCTCTTACATTTGCTATTTATTATTACATTGGTAACAAACACTAGCAGAGCTTGCTTGTAATGACAAGAACTACTTGAAACAACCACCCTAGCATCGCAACATATCCAGTTTTGAAGAGGAAGACAGTTTTCCTCTATCCTTCACGTTTCTTTTGGCTGGTCTAAGAATTAAATTGACATGGGACAGATTAACAGGGGAAAATCAAATATAAGTCTGTACCTAACCAGGCAGTCAGGCGGTCGAGGTCTTTCTTATACGCTATCCAGAGCTAAGCAGAAGGGGCTAGAGGTCTGAGACTTCAAAAGGAAGAAAGACAATTCACAAAAAGATGAAAAAGAATAAATGTTTGGTAAACAAATGTTTGCTGGGCCATAAAGAAACAATGGGACATTAGAGGAATGTTAACTGACTTGGCTAAATTCCTCCCTGTCTACCTAGTTTATATTATACTGGTGAGTATCTATGATGATAGTTCTGTAGCAGGTCCTCCATCTTGGCTGTTACAGGGAAGTTCAGACCCTTTTGTTTCTTAAAAATTATCAGTATAAAGCAATCCACATGCCAAAAAAAAAAAAAAAAAGACATGTTTTGCCAGCAGTCAAAGAGGTTATAAACAGGAAACAGCTGGTAGGCTGTGGCACAGTGTTTCTACTAAAAGGGACTCCTTGGGGGCTGGAGTCTCTGAGCCTAACACAGTGAACGTCAGGCCATCAAGCTTTTGTTAGGGTTAAAGTTGTGTTAAAAAGAAAAATAGAGGCCCAACATGGGGTCAAGTTACTAAACTGGGGATTAATGCCCAAATCAATTGCAGCGTCACCTTCTCCCAGGAGGGGAATTTTAAACCAATCAGTTTGGAACTTCCACTGAGATCATCTGCATCAGAACATCCTGTTCCCCCCACCAGCCCCTCAGCCCTCTCCCCCCATCTCCTCCTAAGGGACTTGAACAATCCAATCTCTTCTTTTGCTTAACTTTCGGCCCCACCCTTCTGTCTATAAAAACCTTGTTTATACACCTCCTTGGATCATTTCTCTACTTGAGAAATGGGAAGCTGTCCGATTCCTGAACTGCTTAGTAAAACCAAGTAGGTCTTTAAAGTTTACCTGATTGAATTCCCCCCCTCACCCCGTTCATGAATTGCTTAATAAAACCAATTAGATCTTCAAATTGACTTGATTGAATTTTGGTCCCCCCTCCCCATTCATGAATTGCTTAATAAAACCAATTCGATCTTCAAATTTACTTGACTGAATTTTTTTTCCTTCCCCCATTCATGAATTGCTTAATAAAACCAATTCGATCTTCAAATGTATTTGATTGAATTTTGTTTAACAGTTGAAAGAAGTCCAGGGTGAGCAAGGCCTCCGGAAGCGGGACTGGATAGGAAAGAGCCACGTCAGCCTCCAGCCTTTCAGTTTCTTTACCTCCATCTTGCCTGCGTATCTCAAGCGTCCGCGGAATGAAGCCTGACAAATCCCGGCAGTAGGAGAGCCCTGCGGGGGGCAGGACGGTACGTGTCAGGCATTCTCACTCTGCAGCTCCCAAACCTCAGCGGACTACAGACCCCACCCCAGGTTTCCTTGCCAGCGTCGCAGCGGCTTCACGCGCTCTTCCGCCCTCTTTCCTTCTCACGTACTCCACCTTCCCCGGACTGGCCGGGCTGGGGGTGCCTTGCAGGGACCAGGGGAGGCGTGGGCCTTCACGCTGGTGAGTCAGTCCAGTAGATTCCTTATCTCTGCTGTGCCACCGACCCCCTCCCCCGAGGGGCGGAGCGCCCCCGCCTTGTTTCTCCCCGGGGCCGCCCGGGCTCCGGGGATCCTAGGTGCTGTCCGGTGCGCCCCAGGGGACCGCGCTAAATAACCCTTTGCCCAGCACTGAAACCCCAGAGGACCGGAAACGGGCCGGGAGCTTTGGTAGCAAGTCCCCAGCGTTTTGTAAACTTTGCCTAAGATCATCTTGAAAGTTGCTTAGTTCCTGGGGTGAATTCAAAAGATTGTTCAAAAGATTTGGCAGGTTTCTTTTGGAAAACTTGATGTTTAAGAGGACTTTTTCTACAGTAGTGTGTGTCTGGGCGGAGGCCTGGCAGAAATTTTTACCTTCTTCCTATGTGACTGCCTAGTGAAGTAGGTCAGGGTTGTTATTTCTCAAAGCAGCCTAATACGTATTTTGGCAAATGGCAAGGAAAGCATGCATGCCTTGGTAAGGTCCGAACCGATTGACATTTTTGAAAAACTTTAAACTCGTTTTCTTCCTCCCTTCCCCTTTATATTCTCTTTCAAAAGAATTGGGAAATGTTCACATGATTTCAAGATGTTTTTTGGCTGATGATGTACAGATTTGGACGGAAGGGTTTGTTTTTTTAAGTATCAACAGTGGAATGCAATAGAACAAAGGTTATTGAGATTCAGTTTTTTTTTGTTTTGTTTTTTTAGAGAACAGGAAGTTCAAGGACTTAAAAGGTTTCTCGAATATTTTCGTTTGTTGACACATGAAATTTGTTTAGGCAACGAGAGGTTGTTTTAAGCAGGAAGACAGCCTATGTCAGGCACTTTGAACACTGAACAAATCCGGATAATCTAAAACTAAAACTGCTCAGGCAGGCCTGACCTGCTTTAGATAAGAGGAACAGAATTTTTGGTATTTCTCCCTCCGGGGGGTTCCCTATAAAGAAGTTACATTTGGAGAAAACTTGGCTTAACTCCAACAACAAAAGCGTGTTTGGATGAGAATTTTGAATGTGCCATACGGAAGGTTTCGTTAACACGTTTTACTTTGAGCTTCTGGGGTGGATGTTCTTATTAAAATGTATTTTTTTTTTTTAACAACTTAACGTTTTGCATTTGTTTTGAAACTGATACTTACGCTTAACATTTCATTACTTACTAGCCTCCACCCGTTTTCGAAGGTGAATCCAACTGCAGGTCTGCAGGGGCGGGGTCCCCCTCGACCCCTGGGAGACTTGGGGGGGTTGGCAGTGTAGTCGCCAGCAGTTTTTTGAGCTGCCAGCTAAAAAAAAAGGCGGCAGGGGACTTACTGGCGGTTGAAACGAAAGAAGGTTTGGTCTTCCGGACGTCCGCGGGTCGCAGCCGCGCGCTCGGTAGGGTAGCGGGACGCGGCGGAGGCGCCCACTCAGTCTCCGCTAGCAGCATAGTTTCCAGGAGGGCCACCTGGGCCCTTAGCCCACACAAAAGAAACTTTATCTGGTGTGACTCGCCGGGGCGCTTGTGGAGTATTTCAGGTGCGGGGGTGGGCGGAGGGTTCTCAAGAAGAAGTCTTGTGTGGGCGGCGCGAACCACGGGGGCGGCCTGGAGGAGACGCCCCAGGGCTCAGCTGGAAGAGGTTCCCGGATCCTGCCCGAGAGGCTATGCCCGGATGGTTCAGACAGTGTCCTCCGGTTCCTCACTCCGCCCGTAGTAATTACAACTCCGGTTTTCTGAAGCTTCAGGTGCGGCAGGGGTGGGCGCCGATCCCGGCCGAGATCCAGCGGGAAGCGCTGGCAGCTGCCCGGGCGTGAGTAAACCAAGAACCCTGCCAGCCCCTCTGGTCCTGCGCCTGGGTGCTGGCGTCGCTCCGGGCTCGGGAGCGTCGGGGCACCGGCCTTCCCATCCCGGCAGAAAAGGATTGAGTCTCCCGCTTTCAGTCCTTCGGCCCGTCCTGGAGCCTTTGAGAACTCACCGCTTTTTAAAAGAGTATCAGGAATGGACTCCTGTTTCATTAGTTTTTTCTTGTAGGGCCTCAAAGGCTAATTAAACTCGTGTGTACGGACTGAAACGCCTCCTTTTCTTTAATTCACTATAATCCTACCAACGTTTATTGAGCATCTCTGGGCTAGGCAGAGTTGGATGCTGGGAACATAGAAATGGATCTGAACTTGGTTCCTTCCCTCAAAAGCCTACAGAGTGGTTGGAGACCGAGCAAAGTTAAACTTGGATTCAAAGCAGCCTAGATGGACCGCTGACAGCCAGGAATAGGAGTTGGCCGGTTGGGGAAATAAAGACAGGTCACAGGGTACTCACCCTTTTCCTTACTAATCAGTGAGGTAAGAAACACTACTATTACTAAAGTGCCCTATTTCTCCTTTATGTTCTGCTCCTCTCAACCTCTAGGAAGACCTCACAGCCCATTCCCAAGGGTTCCCTTCCTCCATACTCTGAAACTCGGTGGCTACCTTTGCACTTACATAGGATTGCATTTAACACTTTGCTTTGTAATACTCTTTCTTGAAAAACTTTTCAGTTGTATTATAATTACCTGGGTTAAATACATTCAAAGTAAATATAGAAAGCCCCCAGGAGTCTATTGCCTAAGATAACCAAAGATTGCAGTTCAGTGTTTTTTTCAGACATTTATGCACACAAATACAGTTTTTAAAGTGTATTAATATATATACTGCTCTTTTTCTTAGTTTGTAAGATGTACTGTTTCTACAACTGTATTTCAGAACTGGTGTTTTTTTGTCTGTTAAAGTCTGTTTTTCTCACATGTACTATCACACCCTCTAGTAACCAATGTTTTAGATGTTTTCCTTCTAACCATGTCTTGTTTCTGAGAGTATGTGTATCCACAGTTTACATTTTGTTTATCTCTTTGTTCAGGTGCCCCAGATATTTTTTCTTCTTAATTCTAGGTCTGGAGAAATAATGTCTTCTTTGACCCCATGCCCATATGAATGAATGCATGAATAGGAATGTGTGTGTATACACTGTGTTACGCACAACTTCTGATTTTGAACAGGACTATTTTCTGATGGGCCAATCTTGGCCTTTAGTTGCCAGAGAATCCACTGTACAAAACTGAGCAATACACATGCTAGGTTGAATTTTTAATTTAAGCTCGTCTTGACTAGGTGGGCTTCAGAGAATGTCTGCTAAATGTTTTATTTTAGTGTGGCATAGTTGATACTAAGGTGTTGTCTTGGACAGGTAGGATTGTTTCTTGAGCCCCTTGTTGATTCCTATGATGGAAACCTTGAGGAGAAAGGATGCGTATCTTCCTGACTGGTGTTTCATGGTGATAAACATCCAGTTCCTGTAAAAGTGACATTCAGATACTGAAAAAGAAGTGATGCCGAGTCATAGCCCTCCTTTGCACTACTCGGAATTGAGATCTGGTCTCTGAACTCAGACTTTACTGAAGCATTAAAATTTGAAAGCTTGCTTAAACTCAGGTAGCTTTACCTATTGCTTCCCCCCCACTCCTACCTCCCCTCCCCAAGGAACTTGAAGCCTCATAGTAAATTGATGAAGGCACTAAATACCTCAAACTGTCCTCTGGCTTTTTTTTTTTTTAAGGTATCATTGATATACACTCTTATGAAGGTTTCACATGAAAAGCATTGTGGTTCCTACATTCACCCTTATTATCAAGTCCCCCACATACTCCACTGAAGTCACTGTCCATCAGTGTAGTAAGATTCTCTGGCTTTTTCTCAACATAAATGAATATAGCAATTGCTCATGAAGATTAGTTGCATATTAAACTTATACCATCTCATACAAATTATTAGTAATTTTGAGGTTAGAGGGCTGTCCTATTTGAAGAAAAAAATTAATTTTAAGCACTTTTGAGTTCATTCTAGGAGAATTGTGGCATGCAGGGAACTGGCCTGGAGGTTTGGCAAAAATGAAAACCCTGACACACAAATCTTAAGAGTTTTAGAAATTGTGATAATTGGAAAAATACAATTTTAGCTAAAGGTATGGGAAATGTACCCTCTGCTAAAGGCCAGGGGATCTCTGGTGAGCATGGCTGGACACACTGTATTCTGCCTATTCAAGGGGAGGTCTTTTCAGCTCCTAGGAAGCCCTGGCATGGGGCTTACCCAGCCTCTTAAAACACTGTAAGCCACCCTTAAACAAGAACATTGCTGCATCATGAGGCTGCAGAAGCCTCCTTTCCCAAGCACTGTTTCCTGGATCTTATAACTGGTTACAAGTACAGTATTTTATTGCACCACCACTTCATCTTGCTTCATTGAAAGTTATGAAAAGATGAGTAGGTATTACACATGTACAGGCCTGCTGAGCTATGTAATGAAGACCAGTCTGTTCTTAATGAGGGTGAGCTTGGGAAGCCTGGCCAGGGCCCAAAACAGCCTAATAATAAGTAAGAACCTATCCATCCTCTAGGACCTTGACCACTTATAACATGTATCCAACTAGAACAAGATAAATACTGTGAGTCGTAGGAGATGACCTGATTTGGGGCATCAAGACAAGCTTAAGGAAGAGATGCTTTGAAAGATGGGACAGAATTTAAATATGCAGAGACTGAGAAGAGGGAAGAGGCTTTCTACATAGAGGCTTGATCAAATGCTTGAGCAAAGATGTTGGGACAGAAAAACACTGTCCAGAGATCACTGAGATATTTGTCTTGATTTCAATTGTGGATCGGGCAGAACTCTTTGGTGGTGTTGGGGCTATGCTCCCAGGTGCTTGGGTTATATCAGAAGTTTGCCCTTGTGAGCATTTAACTTTGGTTAAGATGGAGTGGGCCGCTGCATTAAATGGATTTACCTTTATTGTCCCTGGTGATTTTGTTTATGTTTTTGAATCCAGTTTGATGTCTCATGATCTCCTTTTGATCTAGATTCTTTCTCATTCTGTGGTTCTTTTATTCCTTCATTTTTTGCAGCCTGTATGCAACTGTTACGAACCAGGGGGTTTATTGGAAGTAATGGTATGTTGGAAGTTGTGGGTGCTTTCTCTGAGAGTCACGTGGCTGAACCTCATCAAAGAACTTTATAAAATAATACCTTCTAATTTTATGTCTTTTTATAATTAGGGTCATCTGTTGTTTGTGGGCAATTTACTGTAATTGAAATGCACAGCTTGTGAAGCCAAGTAATTTCTTAATGCATATTTTTAGCCACTGATGCATAATAATGGTCAGTAACATCCCAAATTGGAATGTGTTTGTGGCTCAGCCTCAGTACATGGTCTTCTAGACTATGAGTATGTATCTGCAGTATTCCAGAAATCAGGAACATGTGATGATCTGTTTTTACATACCTCATTTTAAATATTTGCAGGAATGTGTGCACAGTGGCATTTAATGCACTGTCTTAGGTTTAAAATGCCTACAGATGGAGGAGGAAAGATGGGTCCATTATATTAACTGCTTGAATTGTTACAGATACAGCCTGCATCCAGAGGTTCTGTACACAAATGGAGGAGGAAGGTGAGTTGTGTTATGTTAAGGGTGAATGTACCAAGTGCCTGTGATGGTCATATTCTGTTTTGCCCAGGGCCATGAAACTTCTCCACCTTTACCTTTTTGGAAACTTCTGGGTGACTCAGGGACTTCATGTTTATATCTCAGTGGGGATTCCCAGACACCTGAAAGTTCCAGGTTTGCATGCTGCTTTCTGCCCATCTCTCTCCATCACTGCCCAATTTTGTGGTGTTGCTGGGAAATACCGTATGCTTTCACACTGTGGCTTGGTAGGCATGACCTTGCTTTCATGCCATGCCATGATCTTGCTTTAAGTGGAGAAGCAGTACAAAGATTGGAATATTAAGTATGTCCTTGGATAGGTCAAGGTATGATGGGAACTAGTCATGCTGGTGGCTTTGCTACTGATGACAGAGAACATTATGTGCTTTGGGTACCAAATGGTTTGGAGGCAAAGTTATCCTGTGAGGAAGACTGAGAAGGCTGACCAAAGGTAACCACACTTTACTGTCACCTATTTGTGCTAATGCTGGGTGCCAGGGATGTATGTACATAATACAGTGGTGGTACAAAGGAGTTACTAAGTCTGTGTGGGCTCTTTCCAGGAAAGCTTTACATGGGAGGAGATGCTTCAGCTGGTCCTGAAAGCTGAGAAGGGTTTTGCTAGGTAGGCCAGTGTCAGGGTAATTTGGGCAAAGGCATGGAGGCATGAGAAAGAACTCCTTGTTGAGGTGTGGTTGAAGCCAAGTGTGCAAGGTGTGTGTTGAGAGATGAGGGTAGGTGTTAGAACACAAGGGACCTTAAATGCAAAGAAAATTGGAACCTGCAATGGGAAATGAGGAATCATTGGAAGGTTTGAATTAGGAAAGTGACTTGGTTCAAGCATGAACTTAAGAAAGTTCATTTTGTTAGGAGATCAATTTGGAGGGGGTGAGGCCACAGGCAGGGCAACAGGAAGGCCAGAAAAGAGTCTGGGTGAGAGATGAATGCTAGGGCACACCCTCACTTAAGGAGCAGGTGAGAAATAGGGTGGGAGGAGTTGGAGAAGGTTAGAGAGGCTGTGTAGAATAGAGGGGTGTGAGGTTAGCCAACGGAGAAGAGTTTCCAGGAGGGGTTAATCAGCAGCATTAGGTGGGGAGTAGAGTGCTCAGACAAAAGAGGACTTCCAAGTGATCTTGGTTGTGGCCACTAGGAGATCACCAAGGCCTCTAAAAGCACTGTTAGCAGGACTGGGGTCCTAAGGTGAGGAGAGTGAGGTCCTCGCCTCAGATGTATTTGAGGGGGTGCTCAGAAACTCAGTAAGCAAGAAAAAGCTTTAATGCAGTATTTTGAAATGC